ACAAATTTACCGCACTTGACATGATTTTTTTGCCTGAAGGTTTTGGACAGAGAAATATTAGTGAAAGTAAAATAAAGTCTTTATGTCTTACGTAATGACAGTATTTGATGAGGTTGATGTATGACTTATTAACATTACGAATGTAATAACCCAAAATTAGAAAATACTGTGATAAAGAAATTTTTACATTTCAAAAGAGTTCAAGATTAAAGATATTTTACAATATATAATTACTACAGGAAGTGGGCTTGTTCCAGCATACATTCTAGTCACCAAAACTAATAATAAAGTTAAATATTAAAATACTGATGCAAAACACAGTAGCTTATGTAAAATATCCTGTGTTTCGTAATTTCGTTTTTGTGAACCGAAGAATTATATGAGGGTAATGCTAAAATTTGAATCGCGAAATATGCGTCTTTACAAACAGGTAATTTAAGTTTAAGGTAATTTAAGTCTCTTTGCTAAAGCTATGAAAAAAATTAAAACAGAATAGCATTGTAATGCCTATTTGTTGATGATAAAAAATCCCTGATTTCAATTTAGATTTCCAATTTCCTTCCTTTCCGAAGACGACTTTAGGAAATAGAAGGTTACTCAATTAATTATATGACTCAAATAATAAGCAGAAAATTTCAGAACATTGGTTAAGAGCTTGCAAACTGCTTGCTTATTTTTCATTGTTATGCATGAATGTCTAGAGGCTTTAAAGATAATTTTATTGCATACAACAGTTTTTTTTTTTCTTCAAATTAACTATATCCAAGCCAAGCTTCATGATTATTAAAGTTTCAATAAATTAGCAAATTAAATATCTCTTAAATGGCGGGTGTTAGACTTTTAATTTGTAGTTAAACCAAATCAAATGCGCTTTTACTACGACGCATTTTAATGAAAATATATGAAACTTAAATTTTGCCTGGTATCTCTACAAAGTTCTGTTTAGAAAGGTGCTTTTTACATTACTTAAGAATTTAAAAAAAGCATGTTTTCTAATGCAAAATTCCTCCTCACTTAAATTCATCTCCACTTATAGTGCGGCTGGAAAAACGCACGAGACCCGGTCGGTTAGAGCTAAGTGAGGATGAATGATCCTCCACAATACTTTATTTCAAGTGCCACCATATAAATGGTTTTTGGAAACAACTTTATAAAGTGATAAATCAATTTTATTCATACTGGGTTTCGAACCACGGAACTTCCAACTTTGCAGGTTGGACGTACTACCTCTTACACTTTAAGAGCATTTATGAGTGAAGCCAATAATTCTTTATAAGTTTTAAATAAGATACAAATGGCTTACGAAATTGTTAAATTATATCTTTCAATAAATTTACCGTAAATTTTAAATAAAATAATAATATGTAATGCCAGTTAGGAAATGTAGTATGATATGATTTCCTCCAAAACACATCATTTCGAAACAAAATCCCAAGTAATACAGCTGATTATTGATCACTGGATATTAATCATGCATGTACATAATGTAGTTATTTTCTTAATTTTTAAAAAGCAGATGAATAAAAGTTTACTGCGTTCAAAAACAAATCACTCAAGTGAAAAATCTAGTACTTGGTGGAAGTTTTTAAAATTTTAGAATATCTGCATCGCTTATCCTATCACTTTTATTATCAATAAAAATTTACCACTTTATTACATACTTTAAATTGCATACACTTTAATTAAGACACAATAACACTTTGCATACACTTTGTTTACCTACAGATGAGTTCTGCAGCTAATTACAATATACGTGCAGCCCTCTATTTTGCTCATAACCAGTATCAATTTCAAAATCAACTGTTTTCCGTTTGTATATCACAAGAAGAGAAATTGTAAAATATTAACTAGAACTAGAATTATTCATCATATACCGTTATTTATTTATAAGCTATATGCAAAAAATGATGATTTTGCAACACATCATTAATATAATTTGTAAATAAACCGCGTAAAATAATAGTTTAATTTAATTTAACTAATATATTGGAATAAAGTCTCTGATTAAATAAAGGATACAATACAATGAAGTGCCATAAATTATGGATGCTTGAATAATAAGGAATTGCTTCTTGTTTGGCCTTGATAACGACTGCCTCATTGTTATAGCCTGTTACTTTAAAATAGGCATTTCAAGGTCGTAGCGACGCTCTCTCATTTACAATCAAAACGTGTGTCGTCATTACCTCTCAAAAGGAATTAGAAAATTTCAGCAATTTGGAGGATTCAATCTTTTTTAGCAGCAATCTTTGCCTTGGTTGTAGGTCTTAGTTTGAAAGCACAAAATGGCTTTGATGAGCCTTTTATAAACTATATGGTCTATACAATGTTGTTCCGAAGTTTCCACAAATTAGTCAAGAATTTTGAAAATGGATGATGTTCTTGCATATCATTTTTTCAGAGTATTCGAAACATGTTCAGTGAGATTTTATTTTGGGCTCCTCGGCGGCGATTTGCGCAAAGAGGAATCCGTGGAATACTCCTGGAATATAAAGTGGTAACCAACCGGGATATGTGCTAGAAACAATTATCTTACTGGTACACTCTATTTCCAGCCTTGTGGTGGAAACCATGAAGAGCAGATCGCAGATCTATAAGTCGCAGATCTACTAGTGTAGATGCAGCGAGGGTCTCGATACAAATACTGGATTGCTGGATTGGATTATTTAATTATGGCAAAGCACACGAGGGCTATCTGCCTAAAGGGAGGGATGCCTTCGTGGAGGACTTTCTAAGGGAAACTAAGTATACACGTTACACATGGGGAAAACCACGAAAACGCCCATGCAGCCAGCCCGTTCGCGGGATTCGAACCTCGGACTGAACTACCAGTGTTCAGTGTCTTTATCGCTCAGCCGCTGGTGGGCCCTCGATACAAATACAATCTCTATCAAAGATTTGCAACAGAAAGCCCTCCTGACCAACTCTGTGTACCATGAACTTAAAATTATAACTTGATATGCTGGATCCATGGCTTGCTTCATTGGCACCACAGTCTTAGCTTAACATCAACGCGACGCAGTCAGAATCAAGATTCACCATTCCATTCTACTCACTTCCAAACACCAGTGGTTCACTCCTGGGGTTCTGCGGCTCGTGCAAGACATTAAACCTGAGGGCAGACAATGAGAAGTGCTATTCGTCGATCTTCAGCTTTTGAAGGCCATACGATAAAGCGATGGCTACATAGCCCATATATTGATTGTCCAACTGGATCGTTATTCGTCTGTTGCATATCTATTTCTATGAAACGTATTAACTAAAGGTACTATAGTTCGATCGTCTCAAGCGCAACCCGACTCGTCCAAAAGGGGCGGTATTACTTGCTGCGACGTGAAAAGTCTTCTCTTCTATAAAAGAAGCTATGTTGGAGAGAAAGAAAGTCCCCATCCTTCCACCCTATTTTAAGAATAATTCTGTCCGAATGGCGCATGCGTGTTTGCGCTCATGGTCGCGGATGAGGGGGTCGAACTATACTTATGCAGCCGAAGAATTATGCAAATAAACAGAGTCGAATACATAAGCGTATACGTGCGTGTCTGTGCAGCTGTGATTGTGAAGGGGGTATAAGTACTCAACTGGTTTTCGGCGATTTGTGCGCTAGTACTCTTTCACAGCATTCGCCTCGTTTTTCGCAATACTATAGTAAATTATATGGTATTACGTAAAATGAGTAGCACGAACGTATGGATTACGGAATGAGATGGAGAATTGTTTCTATAACGGAGGCAAGTCAATGGAAAGCATAGTTGGCTGCAGAGTTCACTCTAACGCCCAGAGTCGTCTGCAATTTGTGAACCGTATTTCAAGGACAGTGAATCCATATCGAGAAGATCTGGACAAAGATCCACAATGAGCGTCGCGATTTGGCACTTTCAGCGCGACGACACAAGACTGCTACAAATTCCCAGCTCTCACATGAGCAATATGCTGCTACCGGAACCAGAGTTTTTCGGCCTATAATTGTTCGAAGGTTTCGTAAGATAGGACTGTATGCCAGAAGACCCATTATTTGCGTTCGATTCACTGCAGTATTTACGACAGCGCGTTTAGGGTAGTGAAGACAATATGCGTCTGGCAGCAGACTTCAACTGAGCTTCGTGCTTTTTAGATGAGGCCAGATGAAATCTGGGCACTGATTCTTGGCGTAATATTACCCCTCTCTCATCAGGAAAAAGGAAGTTGTAATGGTTTGGGCAAGCATTTTGTTAAACGAGCGCACAACTCTACAGGTGTTTGACAAATGCTCCCTGGCTGCTATGAGATAGAGGGAGGCGATCTTAGAACCCTAAGTTCGACTTTTCAGAGCACAGTTTGTCTTGAGTTCTTATTAATGGACGCCAACGGTCTTCCACATAGGTGTCGGTCGATGATTACCTGGAAAGTGAGAATATTTGCCGCATGGTTTGGAAAACCAGACCTCCTGATTTGAACATTATAGAGTATCTATGATGCTCTTGGGAGAGCAATTTCTCCACGCCATTTCCTTTCGAGAACCCTGAGTTTAACTCCCTTACTGCAGGAGGGGGATCGACTGACACTGGGATTTTTTAGCCGCCTCCTGTCCAGAATGCTGGCCCGCTCAATGATCTGCTTGGCTGGAAAAGGGGACCATATCCCATATCCCACATTAGACTCAGTTTTCAGTTCGATATCTCAGTATGCGGATTTTGGACATCCCTGTACTATGAGCTTTACTGATAATTATACGTATATAAAATGACTTTTGAATGGTATATCTCTTTCGTTATAAATGTATGCTCAAACCCAGTTTAATTAAAATATATCCATTAGTTTTCAGAAACTCGACAATAATGTGCAAAGTCTCTTAATTTTACAAACGAGTACATGAAGCCTATGGCAGCGTTTTCACATGCGAAGACATAAAAGTCAGTAGCTGTTAGGTTTGCATAATGCTGTTTATCCATAATTCAGTGGCACTCCAATGTACGAGATAACGATTACAGACAAGAATTAGGAAAAAATTAAGAATGAATCACCTGTGTTCTTCGCTCTCTGAGCTATCTAGGATAGGTTCCGTATAGGCGATAGGAAACCATCCTACCCTAAAGAAGAAACATTCATAAAAATTAGGTTCGATAAAATGTTTTAGTAAAAATAAAATGTTTTAGTAAAATTGAGTATATAATATAGAGAAAATAAGAACCTTAGTCCTTGGAATTAAAAGTGACACTAAGGATATCATTAAAGATAAATAACTTTTATATCTTAACTAATTAAATTGTTCTTTTTAAGATCTGCACTGCACTTTCTTTATCCCCTCGGAATTCAAAATTCACGATCATTTTCCACAAGACCATGCAAAACAGTTTATCTAAGAAAACAAGTTTTCCTTACTGAGAAACAAGATATTCCTTTGGAGTCTGAAATAAACTACTTAACTGCAGATGAAAAAGACGATATTAACGATCACTGAATTCGCTTCTGAGAAGGTAAATAATATTGTTCATCTGCCAGACAAAATTGTTTAACTGCATTCATATTTAATTGTCGTGTCATTCATTCGTTTTCATGTCGAAAAATGTTCAAACCGGTATTTAAATTCACAAAAAGTATTTGTAATTTTATAATGAGTTACATACAGCAATTACGTTGCACAATTGATTTTGTAAAATTATCGAGCATATATATATACCTGTGATTCCTGAGATTTTCACCATACTGCCATCCTTTATTCCTTTCACCTATGAGGACGATTACGTCACCTTCATGAAAACTGAGCTGATGTTCGCCACTAGACAGATACGAATAAAGAGCCCTCACATGATAATTGGATGACTTAGCTCCTACAGAAGCCATATTTTTGGCTCTCAGCGAAGAACCTGAAATTAATAAAATAAACTGTAAATAAATGTTAGAAATTACATTTATTGAAATAAAACTTTAGTTACATTACTTATCTCTCTTACATACGAAATTTTTGGAATTAATGAAGATTAACTGTATTGAAAATCTGTATTGCCTGCCTAATGCGGAGCTGACAGGGACGTTATATAGACTAGTGAATGTAAACGCAAATATGAAATCGTAGAATTCCGAGTTGTCCCTTCGCCTGTAATAGTGCTTCAGTACCTTTAGTTCCGAAGCTTTGTGTGGAGTTTCTGCAAGACTGAACCGCCTCAGTATTGAAAATTGTGCGGCTGTTATTAAATAAAATTCGACTGCCTTTTTCTTAGACAATCTATGATGTAGCAAAAGGAATCTTCATCTTTTTGGAATAGGAAAAAGGAAAAGAAGTTTGTTGTCGATCTCAAAAATAAATACAATAATTGGCTTTTAAACTCTATTAGAACTACCTGTTCTTCCATTTAGGAATTCAGAAAATAACGATGATATCTCGATCCGAAACTGAACTCTGCAGCCAACTATGCTTGCCATTGACTTGCCTCCGTTATATCGACAATGCTGCATCTCATTCCGTCATCCATACGTTCATGGCTACTCATTTTACGTAATACCTTATAACGTGTCGTTATTTCGTGAGACGCAGTTGGATCAAGTTATCATCGCTATTTTTTGAATTCCTAAATGGAAGAACAGATATTCCTGATAGCGTTCAAAAGCCAATGATTGTACTTATTTCTGAGATCGACAACAAATTTCTCTTCCTTTTTTCTATTCTATAATTCCTTTTTTCTATTCTATAAAGATAAGGTTTACTTTTGCTACATCATAAATTGTATAAGAAAAAGGCAATCGAATTTATGTTTGTGCTCAGGCTACAAAAGCACGTTTTACTACAAAATACTAATCTGTACGTCTTCATTTAAAATGCTAACATTAATCAGTTTACTAAAAATACAATATTTGTCAAATTCTCAAAGGAATTCCGTATGATGGTGATCATTGTATTGTTTGAAAAAGTGCAAATATTAGCCAGTGAAAATTAAAGTAATGGAAATCCTTCGTAAATAAATCATTTCCTATCTATTAAACAGATTTGAAAACTAGTATATACGTTTAAGTAATATATATAGTAATATATTTTGTCTTCATCAAATGACGGATTGTGTAGCATGCGAGTTTCATAGCTTCTTTTCCATAAAAGCATATAAAACTAAAAATCAATCCCATTTTCAAAATGTGAGTTAGAAGAAAGGAAAGAGACGTTTCCTTCAAGTTTCATGATCAATTTTAAATAATTATTATTTTAATGAAAATTCATGAAAACTGTAATAGGAGTTACGAATTAATTGTAGTCTCTGAAAAGTTATTCACTTAAAAGATTACTCAGAGAAACTTTAACTCAATTTTTAATTATATGTTTGAGTTATTGATTTAGTTGCACAATCCGTCTGTAACGAATTTACAAACTTACAAAATTTAATTTCCTGTGAAATTTGATATAAAAGGAGCGCTAAATTTGTATCCGATTGTAAAATATTTTCTGTGCTGCTTAAAACTTAATTCCAAGAAAGGTTCGCGAAATTTTCTCTAGACTACCTTAGGTATGCGTATATATTTTTCTCCATATTCCTTATAAGACAGAATATTCCTTCGAAACTCTTTGGCCCAGAAGAACGTTTTTCGCACTTCATAAACACTTGGAGCGGTTGTCACAGAAGAGCAGTTCCCGAATTTCAAAGAGTGTTTCCGTTTCACTGTATAAAGCATTTTCTCCCTGGCTGTTGCTTGCCTTCGTGGTGTAAGGGTAGCACACTCGGCGCGTATTCGAGAGGTCCAGGTTCGAGTCCCGGAGAATGCATTACACATTTGTCGTGCTTCGTGCTTCAAAAATTCTAATAACTCTACAAATGAAATAGTTATCCATTGCGCTAACGTAAATATTCATGATCAAAACAGTTATTTTGACCATTAATATTTTGCCGAAATATACCTCTAAAAACATTACCAGTCAGAATCAATGTTCCAAAAATTTTCTCACAGTAACCGACTTGGTGGATATATTACTGGTATCAAAACACAGATTTAAAACCTCTCAATCAGACTATCTCACATTGAATGCAGAATTCGTTGATTTGTCAACACTGGATATTTCATACAGTCTTTTGAAAGAAGCAGATAATCAAATTTTCTGTATTATAAATCTGGCAGACGAAGCCGAAATTTTGCAATTTAAACAAAATTTCGTTAAAAAATGTTTAACGTTCTACAATTAAATCAATAGATAATATGCTCATAAAGTAAGGAAATAAAGTTTGCCCGTGATGTTATTCAATGAAGTTTGATAAAGTTATCAGGCAGAAAAACTAAGCAAAAGAAGTTTTTTTTTTTCATGCTACTTATGACATTTTCAAATCATGAGAATTTTCTTTCTCGAAACTGCGAAACTTCGTAAACGAAGATCTTTATCTATTTTTTTAAGGTAACATCTCTGTCGTAATCCTGTAGTTATCATTGTCATTCTATAACAAAATTTGTGACTAGTAACTTTTCCCAAATATGTTTTTACTTCGGCTTAAAAAATGTGTCATTGAAGATAGGAGAACTTTGCAGATAAAATCGACCAAAATAGTAGTAGATACGGTCAGCCTATAAAATCGGCATATAAACTAAACTAAATAACTTCGGCAGAATCTTTGAGCTGAAAATGAAAAAAAAAAAAAACCCTGTATGTCAAATGAATCAGATAATTAATAATTAGAATATTAATCTAAGTTTCTCATATTTTAGTTTAAATCTAAATTTAATCTAAATTTTAACATCGGCTAATAATGTCGGTTTATGGACTGAAAAATAAATCTGCCAACTATTAAAATTAATCAGTCAATTTATTGGTTAATTGGTGATAGAAATCGGCTCATTAGGGAAGTTATTTATGCGTGATATAGTTTCATGTTTTTCATGTGGAAAATCTTACTGTTGTTTTGGACAATAAGATTATGAAAGAACTCTGTTCATAAGAAAACCTTCAATAACTGATATAGGCACATTACTTGCTGATATGCACCTGACTAACTATATTTTACAAATATGAGATTTCCCAATCGATTAACAAGATCTGTACCTTAATTTGGCCTTTTTAGATCAATGTTTCTCGAACTTTTTAATTTGTTCTCTTTGTTTGAATTTTTTCATCTCCTTTATTTTGGGGGGGGGGCGGGAGGAATAAAATTAACTACCCTTTTCGTATGAACTTATATATTTGAATATGTAGTAAATACACTTGCGTAAAATTTACTTATTGATATAAAATTATATAAAGTTGTGTAATAAATCTTAATATCTAACTAAATTAATTAGAATTTTCTTACTTTTTTACAAAAGGCTTCAAATGCAAATAGCATGTAACATAATATTTCGATCCTTTTCATAATAAATATTGTATTTACACAAGTCATATAGTAATAATAAAAATAATAGCACAATAAATTATTATTATAATAGTAGTAACAATAGTGTTACAATATTTAACTTTTGGATTCGAAAGTTAACATGTTACGAATACAGCATTACGAATAAGATTTATTAAAACAAGTAGTAAATCTGCATGTTCAAACATTTTATGGTACATTTTGGTATTTGATCAGAAGCTGATATACAATATTAAAACTTGGTTCCACTGAATGTGATACAGAAAATCATACTATATAAGGGAAGAAATACAAAACGTGATGCTGTTTCTGATGAGTTTATTGGCCAAATTATATATAAATATTTTTATAATATTAATATGAGAGTACTGCTGCAAAAACATCTGGATAATACGAATTGCCTTAAGAAAACGGAATTTTCCGCAATGAAGTTATACTGCTGTAGAAAATACAGAGCATAACATCTATCCATAGACACTGGCCGACATTATATGGTTTTCAGACGACCTATAAAGATGGCGAATTAAATCTTCAGTCAAAATCTTCCTATAATGAAGATAAATGTAGCTGGTCAAGAAAGTCTGCAAATGAGGGATCGTTAATGCAAGTCTTGCATTCTCAAAACATTAAAAACTCTGTACTGTAATATATAATTTTAGCTTGCAATGAAGATAAAAAGCAAAGTTTATTTAATTACTGGAGGATTAAAAGATAAAGTATTTTTGTAAATACATAAGGGATGATACTATATTTATATTTTTGTCTTTGTGTGATATATTTTTAATAATGAGTTCGTTTATAAGCAAATTTTCTCTATCATTTTTACAATTTTTTATTAATGAATTTCAGTGTATTAATTAGTGAGAGGTAAAAGCTAAAGTCATACGCCACTAATGCATGTACTTGTATATTCAAAAGCATAAACACATGCTACTCCTTGGGTTATTCTGAAAGCAGAGAAATCTGTTATTTAAATTGATTTATTGATTTAGATTACATTAAACTCAAACTTTTGTTAAAAATTGAGGAATACTGATTTAAGCAAATTTAATGAAACAAGTAGCTCTCAGGCATTAAATGGATTTCAGACGTGTGGAACACTGGAAATAGGATTATTAATTTCGGTACGATTACTGAATTCCTAAATTTCATCTAATGAAATGCGAAAACTGAAAACTGGGATTAATAATTATGCAATAACACAGCATATTAAAATTTAGAGAAAATTCTGTCTTAGACAGACACTAGTTTTATAAAAGAAATTGCATGCACTTTCAGGACGACTGACACAAGTCTATCTTAAGAAAAGATAGATGACAGTTGCTTTGGAATACATTTAATATTTTTATAAATTCGACATCATCCTAAATTACGCAATATGATCATATTGTTATGATGCGTTTTTATTTTATTAAGAGTCTTATTGTCACCTATAAGTTGCTCAAGATCTTGATGACGACAGAAGCTACACTTATCTTCTTGGCCAAGATGAATTTCGTGGACATGATACGATTCAAATCAGCAGGTTTATGTAAATTTTAATCTAAAACGTTGCAATATGTTTTACTTTGTTAGCACCATGCTTGACATAAGGAATGCTTAATTTAATACACGAGTATATTGTACGCACCGTAATCGCTGGAGACAAGACTTGCGCTTGAAGAAGTGAGATTGAAGTCTGATTTTGCTCTGGACAGGGGACGTGGATACGGAGCATCTTCGTAATCCCTGAGATCTAAGTAGCTGGCATCTATACTTTGAGTCTTCCTCATTCCCACTGTGGGTGATGTTGTGCAGCTCATGTTCTGGCAGGACATGGGACTCATCACTATGGATGAACTGGCATATTCACTACCGGACTAAAACGAAAAGAAACTCAAGAAGAATTTTGAACTCTAAACTGAAAATTTAATTAAGGCTGATACAACGGAAGGGTGGAAAGTTTTGAGTTTCACAATGAAGATGTTGTTTGTGCCACAGTTTCTGATTATGATTTATCTGCACAATTACTCCCTACATGAATGCACTTATGCATTCCGTGCTGCACTTGGTTTAAAGCCATGTTACAAAATGACTTGCCATGACTATTACATCCCAGAATGACAGCCTCAGTAATCTGATCATCCTTGTTGAAGTGACTTAAAGTGAATTAATCATAGCACAGACAATATGAAAATCTGAAGGGCTAAGGTTAAGTGTGTAAAGTGGATGAAGGAGTGAGTCAAAACCACAATCGACCAGAATGTCAAATCATCTCTAAAAACTCCGAGAAGAAAGCATGCCAATTTTATAAAGCATGTCATGACTCTGAAATATGTCAGTTCCGTATAGTTTGGCACAATGTGATATAAAATTCCAGCTGTCTACAGAATTTTGACTACCTAACTGTTAGCATAAATTTAGGTATTTTGCATAAAGAAACTCGAAAGGCATACGAAACGAACGTGCGCCAAGTTATATATTGGCGAGAGAAAGTAAAGCTCGTGTTGCAATGCAGTATTTGATTTTCATCCTAGCTACTTGTACCTGGCCAAAGGTCTAATCCAGTAGTACTTTCTTCTCTTTCAGGTACGATGGCAAAGTATATTCCTGTTTATTTTTCTTATTGCCTCAAATATAGGTAAGCCTGGTGATTTAGGATTGATGATGAATTCTATGTAAGTTATCTTCTTTTCAATACTTCAGTGTTTTAATGTCCGTCAAGACATTATTATTTTTTGTTATGCTTAAGTTAAGCCAAATTATCCTATTTTATTAAATAAAGATTTCGTAGTTAAAATCTTTTTGACTTATGATTCTTTAATTCTGTGCTTGAGGAAACGTACTCATTACGCCTTCAGTGCTAATGCACAACCAACATTAACGCTATTTTTTCCCTTGAGACTCAAAACCTTTCATCCTTTCTTCATAATCTGAAATATTAATAAACAGTTCAAATCACAGTAGAATAATTAAACATAACTGATTTTTACAATAAATATCTTTAAACTAAGAGCAATGAAATAATATTTTAATACTTCAAATATAATCTTAGATTACAGATATAATAGAAGAATAATATAAGTTCTCTATCTGTATTGCTTGCGGATGTTGTTCAATGGCAGATTAAAACAAACTATTCTACTTTTCAATCCGACAAACTGCAATACATATCATAACGTATATTACGACTTACAGATAACCAACATATTAGGATAATTAAAGTTTTATTGTTAATCGCGAGTTGAATCAAACATTTCCGTTTGTAATCGTTTAATTTTATTTTGAGAAAAAAAGAGGGAATTCTAACAAATCTAGTAATCATAACAACTTGTCAAAACAGTAAAAGCAAATGCTAATGATATTAGTATTAATGGGACACAGTTTTATAAACTTTTTGAGTCAAGTTAAAACTTAGAAGGCGTCGATTTTAAGTCTGAAAGTATGTACATAAAAGAGGAAGAAGAAATTAATGGCTATAGTTCCACAGATAACTTACAGTTCCCATCGCAAAATAAATTTAAACGTTTAATAAATTTTTAATCCATTTTCTAATCATGAAATCATTGCAACAAATATATAAACTTTCTAACTCCTAAAATTAGATGCTGCTTAGGTAGGTAGAAAAATTAGATTTACACCAGCTCGTACTTTGTGACACAGATTCCTGATGGCTATAAATCTGATTTCAAAATCTCGCTCTGGAAAGTATATAAGAAATGCCGTTCTTATTCACGAAATTTTAAAATATAAATCTAATTTCCTAGTGCCTTAAATCTGATAACTAAAATACTTTTCATTTAAGCTAAAATATTTCCAGACTAGTAATTTTAAAACACCACACTTTGTTTGTTTGAGGGGGGGGGAATCGCACGAAACAATTTATGACATTTTACAGTGGAATTTAAGCTGCAAGCCTTAGAAAGGGTACCTTTGAGAGAAATATTCTGATAAAAATATACATATATCAGAAATAATAAATGTGAAATAATTTGTAAATTTTGTTGCAGCCCATTCGCAAGAAAAGCTAAACACAAACACAAAAACGTGCGTTCAGTAGCTGTAACCACTTTTAGTCATTACTTTGCAACGGAGCTTTTTATACGACTCAATCGTTATGCGTGCGTACATATTAATACCAGCAATTTTCGACAATTAAAAATTGTAAAAGTTCAAAATTCGTACATATCAGGGTCTTTTTTTTAAGTTTTCGAGGACGCTAGATACTAAGGTGTAGAGTAACTAAAGAATTATTACAAACGGAAATATTAGAAATTAAAGTTGATGATAATGTATATTTTCGTCAAAAAATTAATACGAAACGTCTCATAATAAACATATACATATATTTCTGGAAATCAATTACTAAACAAGCAAGAAAAAATTTTATTTTTCCCGAGTTTGCAATGGCCACAAAAGTAGCTGACTAAAGGAATTTTTATCGCTGTTATTTGAACTCTAAAAGAGCTTTCCAAAATAACCTATTTTCTTCCTCTACTGTATAAACCATAAATATTTTTTTTCACCTGATGCCGATATAATAAAAGCGTTTTTAAGGTTACCTTATACATTAATAAATATCAGGGTCCTTTTTCCCACTCGGAAAGCGATAACGCTGAAATTCATTACATTCATGTCAGAATGAAAATTTTTACAACTGAAGGTATGAATGAAGACTGCAGATATGATAAAAATAGCTGTATAGCATTAATATACATTGCGTCCAAGGAACTTCTTAGCCAGTTTTTACTTACGCAATCGTTACACGTAGATATATACTTCCTATTACATAAATGTTTCAAATGAAAGAAATTTTAAAAGTTTTGGCATTTTTAAATTTAAAATACAAACACGCTTCTAAAAATCAGGAAGTATACCTTTTCATACCTTATATCGGTTATATACTTACAGTTATGAAAAGGTTATACTCATTTGAAAAAAAAAAAAAAAAAAAAAAAAAAAAAAAAAAATGTGACGCTTGTACGAGAATTATTGACTGTATTTCATTCTGAAGTTGGAATATCATAATAAGGGGCCGTACACAAATTGAAAAGCGAAATGTTTGCTTTTCACGCAAATCAAAATCAAATATGGATTTAGAAAAAAAAAGTTATGTTACTAGAATAAGTGATAAGTATTTCGTAAAACAAGTACTGATAAATGCAATTTTTTCCCTTACTAAATGGAAATCTTATTCATTCATAGAAATTTATAAAACTTACGTTTTGGAAAACACTGGCAAACTTCAATATTGGTACATAGCGAATTCATAACATTATTTGCAGCAATTCAGAAGTCAAACAACAAAAATCAGCGTTATATTTACCAAATTTTCACAGGACTAGTTTCGATTCCTAATTCCAATCCAAATTTGCCTTCGGCCTTTAAAGAAATTATGTTTTAGTTCTGTTTTTACCAACAGATGGCGCCACTTGCTTATTCTTGTCCAGGCTTTCTTATCTTATCTAATCATTATTTCCTATCTGGTTCATTTGCGGTTTTGCAGCTGAAGATGGTGGTTCGGTAAAACCATCGAAACTAGTCCTGTGAAAATTTGGTAAATATAACGCTGATTTTTGTTGTTTGACTTCTGAATTAGTATTTATTCGGCGTGTTATTGTGTCTTAATTATTTGCAGCAGTTAAAAATTTAAAACATTTCTTGTTTAATATTTTTTGAATGGTTGCTGGATAATAATTCTAAAGAAATAAAGGTCCATGAGCTATTAGTAACATAATTTTGACATTTGAAAACAGAAATTAATTGTGTGAAAATTATTTCGGTTTGCCAGCTGTAACAAAATTATAAATTAAAAAAAAATGTTATATACTAAGAAAACCTTTGAATAGTAATTTTTCGAACTATTCTAATTTATTTCTTAATCTGCCATTCAAGGAAATGTGAAATGACATCAAATGGGACATGTTGACTGATGTCTCAAATTTTGAAATTAAATATCTCGGTCAAATTTTGTCGTATTGAAGTCAAACATTTTGTGTTTTGTTATTTATAATGAGTGTAAAACTTTCCAAAATGTGAATGTAGGGACTGGAAGACCGTATAAAAAGTGAGATTTCGTAATATTTTTAGAATTTGAAAACCCAGCAGAATGTGAATGTTTGCATCAAGTTTATTCAATTCCTTAATGTTTAAACATTCACAACAACAGCTTCCTTGACTCTCGAACGCGTTTCTTATTCTATCGGTATTTTGCAGACAACAGAAACGTTTCCTTTACTCTTACCAGATGAGTAACGGATACACCGCCAAGGGCGGTGTCCTTAACGTGTCTTTCTTGATCATTTTCATAGGCCCCCATGGTGGATACTGGGGTTCGTTCGTCAGAAAACGTGAAGTTCTCTAATGTCACATATGTGCTGTCTTGTTACAGTCCATAGCAGCAGATAATTATAACAAATTACGCTGTATATACATTTTTTATTACATATAGTTCAATTTTCATCAGTATAGTCTAGTACATCGATGAGTATTTGTGTCTGTGATTAAATATTCAAGATAGAAAGAGATGTTAATTATTGCACTGAGAAAAAAGAAGATAGTGGGATGTATGTTACATAGTCACAATGCATATGTATGCTGTTTATTTAATTCGTTAATATATAAAAAATGCGTAATTTATTATTTATCATACCTTGCAAATGTTGTTGCCATCAAACATTTTTTCTATTGACTCTGGAAGGTATTCTCTCGTTTTTACGATTTCTAGCCATTGGTCTAAGTTGTGCTGCAACACTGCTTGACCCTGAAACAATTTAAATTTAACTGAGCATTAGAAAACGAAAATTAATAAATTAGTAGCTTGACGTATGCATCTTCACTGATATCTACACATACTTATCAAACTGAACTAAAGTAATATATTAAATAACTTTCATTTTTTAAATCATACAGAAATCAGATTCAGAAATTTGTTATTAAGTTCAAGATATAAGACTGAATGCTTGTAAAATTTGCACTTGTAATCCATACTATAAAGCTTTCTGGATACTATCTTGAACAACTTTAAAGGAATAAATTCACCCTCGACTTACGAGAAAAATTATTAAGCTTGAATGTGTTTAAACTGAACAAATACTCTTGGAGGCTAGGGTACATTTCTGTACTTTCTGTGTACCCAGACCTCTGATTTCAACTTTCAGATAAATTGCTGTGTTTTGGCCCATTTTCGGAACACATACGACAGTAGCCATTCTACGCATGTTTGTGTATCAAGCACGTGTGTGTATACGTGATTTTACACGCTTTATATTTGGCCATGATTTCGCTTACATTATCTACCGGCTGAAGAAACATAAATATAGGGGATATAGGTTTTTGTTCTTTTTCACAGAATGTTTTGTTTCCCATGAAATGCTTCTTTATTGTTATTATTCATAAACAAATAGTACCTTGTTGCTGAGCTGGAAACATTTTGTGAGGTTCAAATAAACAGGAAATATCTCTATCTTATTCTGATAAATAGTACATTTTACTACGATAAAATTTAGAGAACAGCTGCATTATAAAAGTAAAGCTTACACCTGAGTTAATGGGATATAAGAGTCTTATAATTTAAACATACGAGATTAAATGCTCTGAAAAGTTGCACTTAAAATCTATACAGTAAAATCTGATAAAGAATAACTTGCGTAATTTCAAAGGAATACGATTATGCGCGTTTAATAAAGAAAATCAACATGCCTGAATTTATTAAAACTGAAGTAAAACTTAGAAATTAAAATTTATTTTATATACATAAATGTACATTTTATTCAGACAAGATTTATCATAAATTCTTCTTATAGCTCTATCTTAACTCCATCATAAATTTAAAGCTTACATCCGGGTTATTAGGAATAAAAGCTAATAACGGTCTTTTGCTACTATTGGCCACACAAAATGTTCTTTATCATCTATCAAGCAGTCTTCGCATGCGGGATAAATACCATTAAGAAGTTTCAGTTCCATCTTACTGTGAAAGTACCGCAAATCCGTATGCAATTAAAGCTCTTCTGTTTTCTTCAGACATAACCATTTAGGAGAGTAAGATACAAAGAAAAATGCATCAGCGTTTTTCTTTAACAGCCAAGACTATTTCTCACCCCAGAGGCAATATCTGAGAAGAGCGAAAAAGGGAGTTGGGGTTCGACATTGAGCCTGTATCTCTTTTTCCTACTATCTCCCAGAGAGAGTTGAAGGAAAAAGGACATTATGAACATTATCAGAACGGCATTTGCTGCTAACGATGTCTCCTAGAAGAACCGTTTTGTCGCCTAGACACGTGTATGACGTTCAAATACCGTCGTTAAGTTTCCTTAGCGTTTGATGAGGACAGCCTTAGATTTCTTGCATGGCGTATCAACCATGTTTGGACACAGATGCAGACTGGGTAACAATACATTTTCTTGATTAGGTAGTCATATAATGACAAAATAAATTTTTATTGAAAGCAGAAGTTATGATCTTTTTATGTCTGTGATTATTAAAACGAAGATTTATAACATAGTAGATAACTCATGTGCTACGGTTATATATATATACTTATGTTATCTAATAAAACTATTGGGTGGCATCAAATTAGTAACCAACTCCGTATTTCCTTTCCGAGACATATAAGCGAGAATTATGTTTTGTACAAGGAAAAAAACAATTATGAAAACAACTTTTATATCAAATAAAATAGTTCGCAACAGCATTATCATTGTTTATTACTATCATTATTTATTAGAGCTGGATTAGTTTAAACGTTTAAAAGAACTAGACGGTTGTGTGTTGTGCTCTTTCCTTCCTACTCATTAGACAGACTTGAATTTTCGCACGAGAATCCTATGATACCGAGCATGGAGAAAAATTATGACATTTTCAGCGAAATATTCCATCAAGATATGCCATAAGTGTTGCAAGGAAAAAAAACTGAAAGGTTTCAGATTTTAATAAAGTCCAAAGGGGGCGTTTTTTTAATGTTTGGTGTGTTACCTTTATTTATTAAATATCATGTTATTTGCACTTAAACCATAAAATTCAGTTCAACAACAATGTCGCAAAATAATTTTAAAATGAGTGTATCTTTAGAATTTCCGATACACAGTTCCGCGCTAGGGAGATAAAAAGGTTTTTGCCCCCGCAGTGTGTTGCCATTGCTCGCTTTTAAATCGTTGTGTTTGTTAATCAAAAATTCGTTAAGTTTTACAAAATCGATAATAAAAAAAAATTCCAAATTTCAAATTTGGGCTTTCAGATTCCCATATTCGCAGTAGTATTACGTCATTCAAAATTGGATGGTTCTAAATACCGTTGTTTTATCCAGTGCTAGCATACATACATTTATGCAGATTCTTCATTATTTAATGTCTTCAAATATAATACAGGCGGATAGTATTTGGTGGCAACGATTTGAAAGGTGATACTCCGTTTATAGGGTTCGACGCAAAATCGCAAAACAGCAGTGTCTCAGGTACAAAGGCCCTTTGGACTAAAAAAATGCGTTTCACTGTACGTATGGAATTGATTACCGCTGTCATGTATTCCAGTTCATGCAAAATATCAACGTGTATAGAGCAATGGTCTCAACCTGCCTGCCCGCAGGTCGCATGCGGTCTCTGAAGCAATCTCATGTGGTTTCGCAAATTTCATTTCCCGTAAATTAATTGTCATTATTATAACATTAGTTATTTCGACAGTAATGTGAAGAATGTTTAAAATTTTAATGATTCGAAGTCCAATTTTGAATTATTTTCAGTACGATTAAAAAGGGACTCTCCACAGAATCTACAAATGGTGTTAGTTAATTTACACCGTTTGTAGATTTACATCATTTGTATATTGTGATTTAAATCTTATTAAAATATTTGAAGATGATACAAATTTGATTAATCTTTGTTTTCGTACTTGTCGAAAGATGAATACCTCATTTCCAAATTTTTGCAATAGAAATACTCGCTTTGTTTGCGAGTATATTTATATGTGAAAAGCCCTGTTTTTCGGCAGCTGAAAATTAACACGTCTAAAAAACAGGAGGTTGACCGATAAGTATCTACAGCTTGTGATGGAGGTAATTTCTACTAATTTTTCTTTAAAGTTACAAACTTAATCTAATTCGAAATGCCATAAGGTCTTACAACTGAAAGTTGTAGTGAGAAATAAAGAAGGTTTGCTTTCTAAATATTCCATAAGTGTAAATTGATAATTTTTTCTTAATTAGGTAAATGCAATGCTACGTAAAACTGAAAAAAGTAATTTTATTTCAGTCTCTACTACGAAATAATTTCGACTATAAATTTAATAAAATTACAGAAAGAACTGAAACAAAATGTTATAAACAATTCTAGGACTTTTAAAATCGCTGAAAGGGGGGGGGACTCCTTTATCCTAAAAATTTTCCTCAAGCTAGGGGACTATGCCAGCACTGCCTAAAATTTACTTTCACCTATTGCTTTTAAGACGGGACCTTGAGAAACCACATTCGTAATTTTTCATTTTTTTATTTTTTCTGCCTTGTACGAAGTAGTGTAGTCGCGAAAAATCTTGGGTATTATATTTCAACGCAAATATCTCTTTTGACCGTTCCGGAATCCAATGGGACGATTTTTTTAAGTGACATTTGTTTCCAAAACGAATTGTAAAATGTATTTAAAACTTTCGAAATGAATTTTTTCATGCCATCTCTACGTACGTGAATGTATCCAGCATAACTCAAAAAGTTGTACAACATTAAAATTGTGTATATGGGGCTGCTATAGCATCTAGTTGTGAGCCTCTCTTTTTTAATTTCAATCGCCAGTACCAAAAGTATAGATATAAATCTATATCCACCCCCTTACCCGGTTTAAAAATTCTTCCTGTCTTCAAAATTCTCCCGGCCTTTATTTTTGCAATCGGTGGTCGTAGTAATAGACTTCCAAGTACAGAAGTGTTTTAAATGACTTAAATATTCATATTTTCGTTATGTTAAATTAAAAAAAATCGTCAGATACCGAAACCTAACCTTTGAACGCGGTCTCCTGGTTCTTATGCGTATATCTAGGAAAATTTTATACTCGTTATGACAAAATGAAATTATAAGAAGTTTGACTCCCGTACAAGAAATTTGACAGGAGTATTTAATTTCAAAATTTGCATTTTTTGATTTCATTTTTAACTTATCTAAGGGATAGGCTAATTAAGTTATAATAATTCGAGGAAGTAAGTTTAAATGAAGTGCTGGAAAAATATATAATTTAATAGGTCGTATAAGGAAATCCTGTGTTGCCCATATCAAATTTTTTATTTAAGAAATATAAATGATCTTATCGTCACATTATGCATGATATAGAGACTCTAGACTTAAGAGATAAGAAAAAAGTTTAAGAAAATGTGAAGACTTAGATGATATTTTAGTGAAATCAATATTACATAGATAGAGAACATGTCCAAAACTGTCACTTTCATATACAGATAGTGATTGCACAAGGTGCCCAAAGTAATAACGTAGGAATGTAAAATCGCGCTTAATATCGATAAATTATTTTTCAATAAAGTGCCACTTTTAATAATATTGCTTTGACAATACTCAGCTACCATGACAAAACTCTCCTGTAGGGTTTGATCGGATGATCCGCATTACTGACTAGATTTCGTGTGAACACGAGTGACACGTAGGGATTAGTTTTTGCTGGAAAAGCGAGAGGCGAGGAGCTTTAGTAAAGAATAAAGCTTCTGAGAACTTACGAAAAATATCGTTAACCGTTATTTCGAGTTACTTATGTTACAGTAATAGAAAAAACG